GCCGTGCAGCGCGGCTACACGGGGCTCGAACTAGGTAGTTCGGACTAGGATTCCTATTCCGAACTACCGGTACACCTCCCCGCTTATGCAAATGAAGCCCGGGAAATTCAAATCCCGGGCTTCATTTGCAAGTGCGGTATGCCTACATTACCCTCATAGTTCGAACTAGGAGGGTAGTGTAGACATACCCTACTATAGCAACTGACACATCTCAGTGTACTGTTGAAGTATCCACATTCCCAAGTTCTTAGATCTGCCTCATCCCTCTCAGAATGCTCCCCGCTTATGCAAATGAAGCCCGGGAAATTCAAATCCCGGGCTTCATTTGCAAGTGCGGTATGCCTACATTACCCTCATAGTTCGAACTAGGAGGGTAGTGTAGACATACCCTACTATAGCAACTGACACATCTCAGTGTACTGTTGAAGTATCCACATTCCCAAGTTCTTAGATCTGCCTCATCCCTCTCAGAATGACCCGTATGAGCAGAAGTAATATTTACTACTATGCACGGTAGAAAAATGTACATTTCAGCATCTTTCTGGAATATCATGAAGGGTTAAAGCTAGAGAAAAGCAGCTAACACTTGAAAAGAATGATTCATTATTTTATTTTTTCACCCTTCAAATGTCTCTAGGTGCATAAATAGCAATTATCTATGCCCACTCAAAGACCATCACAAAACTGAATTGAATTAAAATTCCCATTCTTCCAGACCCAGTCTCCCAATACAGCCATCTTCCTTAGATAAATACTTGCGCACATACAGCCCTATGCAGTGTGCCTTAAAAACAACACAGAGATCAGTGGTGGAGAGAGTTCTACAGTTCAATTAATTAAGGCTAAATACTTATATCAGCTTTCCAGGTAATTATCAAAAACAGGTTAATACTATCAGTAAATCAGTTCATTTCAAATAGGAATGTATAAAGGGAGAAAAAAATTAACAGCTCATTTGAAAGCATCACAAACATGTAGCTTAAATGAAGCTGAATAAATATGATGACTTTGGAAAAGTTAGCTATTTTAAAAAGCTTTTAAGCCAAGGCATAAATTTGAATCAGTTTAATAAGAGCAGCTTAAATCATTCAAATGGAGTAATGATATGCAAAATCATCAGGTAGGTTTAATTGGAGAAAATCCAAGTGCATAAATAAATATACAAACCTTGATTCTGCAAACATTTTTGCATGTGCTTATAATTGTTTGCATGATTGTAGCCTAAAGGCAAAACTGAAAAAAAGCTGAACAATCACAAATAGCTATTTGGACACCCAGGCTGTGTCTAGACTGGCCAGTTTTTCCGGAAAATCAGCAGCTTTTCCGGAAAAACTTGCCAGCTGTCTACACTGGCTGCTTGAATTTCCACAAAAGCACTGACTTCCTACTATAAGAAATCAGTGCTTTTTGCGGAAATACTATGCTGCTCCCATTCGGGCAAAAGTCTTTTTCTGAAAGACTTTTGTGCAAAAGGGCCAGTGTAGACAGCAGAGATTTCTTTTCTGCAAAAAAGCCCCGATCGCGAAAATGGGGATCGGGACTTTTTTGCGGAAAAGCGCGTCTAGATTGGCCATGGACGCTTTTCCACAAAAAGTGCTTTTGCGGAAAAGCATCCTGCCAATCTAGATGCTCTTTTCCGAAAATGCTTTTAACGGAAAACTTTTCCGTTAAAAGCATTTCCGGAAAATCATGCCGGTGTAGACGTAGCCCCAAGGAATGATTCAATGAAAAGCTGGTAGGCAGCAGACTTTCCAAACACTGGACATGCCTAAGACTGAGAAATCACTGCAAAGGGGAGGGTTTAGGTTGTAGTTTTGGGATGGACATAAAATATTGATAAATTATTGATAATAAACAAGTGAATCCTGCTGGTTTGACCTATGGCAGAGAGAGAGCCAAAGAGAGATTCCTTATCCCTCTGAGCAATAGCAGGAGTAGTTGGCTTGCTGCCTAAGTTTCTCTGACTATAATAATTTTCATGGTATGGAGTTGCTGATAGTAATATTCATGTAAACATTTATAAAAACATTCCACCATGCACATTGCTGTCACTGACTGTAATATCTGGTTTATGAGAAACAGTGTCTCAGTTCAACCCTCAGAACTGAATTATGAAGCCAGTTGAAGAGCAGGGTGTTTAAGGAATGCAAATTGAGCCACCTATGAGTTCCTGTCACTATCCAATTAGTATTTCATGATTGCCATAATAAGTAATATTGTGTGTGCTAGGGGATGTGAACTGGATAATGCCTCAAAATGGCTTCTTAGCCTAGTGTAGTACTCCTCTTTTTTTCCCTCCACCACTCTCCATTTATCAGGTGTGTAGCAGGTGGGGCTGGGGCCCTTACTCCCATCCCTATACCAGCTTAAGGAGAGCTAATATCAATACTAGCAAGATAGTTCTACTGACCTGTGCAAAGACCAAGACTGTCCTCTCCTGTTTAGAATAAAGTGCAGGGGAAATTCCTTAGATAATTTCATGGGTCAAACACTCAGCATACATTGTGATCCTTGTTTCTTTCTCTGCTTGTTCTTCCAGATGGCAGGGAAAGGTGCACAATTAAACAATTAAAGTATTTTAATGTTTTTATGAGAAAGCTGCTATAAAAGGATGAATCTTGCATTTTGTTATTGAGGCAGTGGGGTGTGTGGTCCATTCCAACTTCTTGTGGGAGAGATTTGAATCCATGCTCCTATTTCTGTTTACTGTTTTCACAAGTCTAAGCTTTGTAGTTACTTGTTTCTGAAGGAAAATAATGGAGAATGATGTCTGAGGTCACTTGACCTGAGTGTACATGGTGAATAGAATACTGAATATTATTCACTACTTACCAGGGAGTTTCTTTAGTATCTGTAGCATTGGCTTGATACTGTCTCTTGTTACTTATGTAGCAGGTGGGCAGCAACATTTTGAATGAGCTGGAGTTTCTTCAGCACAGTCCCTTTCATCTCCTTAGTCAAACCTGAAAGATGTGAATTTATGGGTTTTCCTGGTCAGTGTCCCATCTAGAAGTGTGGAATGAAAATTCCTAGCTTGGCAAAGATGGAAGAATTTATAACCTCTGTTGCTATTTGGGACTCTAGTAGCAGAGAAGAGTTCCCACTCACCCAGTCTATGAGCTACCCTTTCAGCCAAAGGACTTTTAATACTCTATTCATCTGATGAAGTGGGTTGTACCCACGAAAGCTCATGATACCATCTATATGTTTACTAGAGATACCTGAGGCCACTTAGGGGCTACTAGTCCTTAAGGTGCTGCTAGACTATTATTATTCCCTTGCAACAAACCCCGTTGCCAGCTTTGTCCACATATTCATTCTGCTGATACCATTATTGGACCTAACCAAGTGAGTTATAAGATCAAGAACACATATTCCTGCGCATCCAGAAATATAATCTATGCTATCATGTGCCGAAAGTGTCCGTCTGCTATGTACATTGGACAAACATCTCAGACACTTCGCCAAAGGATTAATGCCCACAAAACAGATATCAGACAAGATCACAAAGAAAAAACAGTTTCTTGCCATTTCAACCAGAAAGGACACTGTCTGAACGACTTAACTACCTGCATCCTACTTCAAAAGCATTTTAAATCTGCACTCAAAAGGGAATCCTCTGAACTGTCATTCATGTTAAAATTCGACACTTACCACCAGGGACTTAACAAGTCTTTGAACTTTCTCACCCATTACCAAGACAGTTTCCCCAATTATCACCTGTAATACCATTAACTCACAAACATCCCACTCTCCCTACCTTTAATATCAGCAATTCACAGACACTTACCTTCCTTCCTCCCCCTTCCCACCCCCCCGCATCCCCCTTCTGTTCTGCAATGTGATTTGTCCTTTTCATATTTGTTCATTTTTTTAAATTGTATCCTTTGGTATATATGGTTGTGACTACTTTCTTCCACTATTTGATCTGAGGAAGTGGGTCTGGCCCACGAAAGCTCATCATCTAATAAACCATCTTGTTAGTCTTTAAAGTGCTACATTGTCCTGCATTTTGCTTCAACTACCCCAGACTAACACGGCTACATTTCTATCACTATTTACAACCAAAGGGTGGAGATCCTTATGATTGTGATTTGGCTAGTTTTTCTCCTTGCTAATATTTCTCTCTTGGCTAGGTATGGCTTCATCCAATTATTTTACATTCTGACATTGATCTCGCATGTCCTGTGGGGCAGCTGGGACATAGTGCTATTTGAACACGATGTATAAGATAGCTATTTACTGTTGGCACTTGAGGCCACGGTGCGTCTCATTCTGGTTTTACATATAAGTTTAAAGAGCCTCTGAGAACCCTTGCAGAATGCCACAGATGAGGCATCTGAAATCAGAAATGCACTTGCCTGACACAAGTTACCTGTTAGGATGGTTTTGAATTAGGATTTGAAAATGCACTCTATGCTTCCATATTTCAGTCATACCATCTAAGTCCTGTATAATACAAATGTACATACAATGTTACACAAATACATTGATAGAACATCTTGCTCTGTGGGAAATTATATAACGTGAAAATAAGAAATGCAGTACAAATCTGTAATCTTCCTATTTGACAAGTCCCCTCACATATGTGTTTGAAACACAAGGGAGACTCTGCCAGTTTATAGACGTAGATGGCTTTGAGCATAAATCTTATTTGGATGACATTTTAAAAGTTTTCTGAAATTGAGTCTTACCAGTTTAACACATTTTTCCTTGAGGCCTGTTTTGCTCTAGTAGTACTGATATAATAGCTTGTATCCCTTGGCAAATTTCTGAATGAGAATGCTACTTGGAGTCAATTGCAGCAGGAGGGGCAATATAAAACAATTCTAGAAACTGAAGTTACTTTAGTGTGTGACAAAGTCAGACCTGATAGATTTAAGAGAGATGTGGAAGGTCAATATATTAGCCCCAGAATAGTGAAAGCCCTGTTCCCCAGGAGCTGAAAAGAGATTAACTCAGGTTTACTAGAGATACCTGAGGCCACTTAGGGACTACTAGTGACCTTTTAAAAAAAACCCTTTTCAGGCCAGATACAGGAAGGAGGGATAAGAAACAAGGTGCAGCAGGGAGAAATGATTTCTCTGGGATTGAAGGTGTCCTCTCCTTTGTTTAGTGAAAACACCCAAGTTCACTGCACCCTGTGGAAGGACTGGCAACCAAGAACCAGCACAGTAAGTCGATAGCCCAGTGAGGGGTGAGGATAAGTATTTCTGCTTGTGTTGTGAGTTTGGGACTTTTATTTTATTTTTCTTAATAGAACTACTTGGGACTACTCAAAGTGTAGAATAAAAACACCTTTGGAGTAAGACTGATTTACTCCAGGTCTTTCACAGCCTGGAGGAGCTATTCTGAGGCTGATGAAGTGAAGGAGGTACCTTGCCACAAGTTAGCAAGCAGTGGTAAAGAGAATGCTTGCATTGCAATTGGTGCTTTTCAACTGCATCATCTGATGTGTCATAGAACGTGCTAGATTGTTTATTATTCTTTCTTGGCAACTCAATTTTATCAATAAAAAGTAAGGGTATGTCTACACTACCCTCCTAGTTCGAACTAGGAGGGTAATGTAGGCATACCGCACTTGCAAATGAAGCCCGGGATTTGAATTTCCAGGGCTTCATTTGCATAAGCGGGGAGCCACCATTTTTAAAACCCCGCTGGTTCGAACTCCGTGCAGCGCGGCTACACGGGGCATGAACTAGGTAGTTCGAACTAGGCTTCCTAGTTCGAACTACCGTTACTCCTCATTTCACGAGGAGTAACGGTAGTTCGAACTAGGAAGCCTAGTTCGAACTACCTAGTTCGTGCCCCGTGTAGCCGCGCTGCACGGGGTTTGAACCAGCGGGGTTTTAAAAATGGCGGGTCCCCGCTTATGCAAATGAATCCCGGGAAATTCAAATCCTGGGCTTCATTTGCAAGTGCGGTATACCTACATTACCCCGCTAGTTTGAACTAGCGGGGTAGTGTAGACATACCTTAAGACAGGTAGGAAAAATACTGCTTGGGTTGGCCAAAATACGGAGAAGAGGTCCTGTGACTCTTTTTCATAGAACCACTTCCTCCAACAAGCCCAAGTCCCCTTATATTCTGATGGCTGACAGACCATCCCTTGACATCTTCTCTGGAGAGGCTACTGCGAAAATAGGAACATGCAGTAATACTTGCTGCTTCTCTTTTACTACTGTGGGCAGCTGGGTGGCACAACTCCAAAACCAGCAGCACCTTAAACTCTGCCAACACTTGCAGTTTAAATCACTATAGGTATGTGTGATGTATCAGAGTACAATCTAGATAAATAAGTAGCTGTATCATCTCTGCCCTGCAGCCTAGAATGTCCTTTACTTTGCCTTGCTGCTGTAGCCTCCAACTTGGAAAGCTCACAAATGACTTCCAGCATATAAGTCATTCACAACTATGTCTCTGTTGGCTACAGCCAGCCACACATTGGCTCCTATTAGCTGTAAAGATTACCACAGGGTGACCCCAAAACACTACCAGTCCCAGATTTTCCTCCAGAAATTTGGTCAGCCCTCTCATAGATATTTAAAAAACATAAGAACATAAGAATGGCCATACTGGGTTAGGCCAAAGGTCCATCCAGCCCAGTATCTTGTATGATGACAGTGGCCAATACCAGATGCCCTAGAGCAGTGGTTCCCAAACTTTTCAGCATCACGCCCCCTTTTTGATTTTTGAGAAACCCTCAGTCCATCCCCCCCAATAACAGCAAATTTTGCTGAGCAAAAAAAAAAGGAACGGACCGTGACTGAAAAACAAAAATAGCAGCAAAACTAGGGGGAGGGGCTGGGTCACCTCACCCCCCCCGGAATTTCTTCATGTCTCCCCTGGGGGGGGCATGCCCCCCAATTTGGAAACCTATGCCCTAGAGGGAGGGATTACAACAGGTAATCCTCACTTCAATCCTCATTTCAAATATATTGAGTTCACTATCCTTTTAAGTGAATAATATGCCCAAATTTGTTACCCCAAATGAACTTGTTACCCCTGCACAGCATGGAGACAAGCTAAGCCCCCGAGAGGTAGAGAACTGGCATGGGCCACTGGGCCCCCTACTGAACAATGATCCGGCGACCACTGACCGGTCCAGACTTCCCAGAGACCGTGCAAACTGCTGAGAACTGGCTGCTGAATCTGGACCCCTTTTGACGTACCAAAAGGCCTACCAGACATCCAGGTATACACTAAGGGCAAGAAGGGAAGTGGTCCAGGGTATAGCATGGACATGTAAACACCCAGGTCAGCGTGTTTTGGGCTGGAGCCCCCGCTGACCCGGCAGCAGTCTATACTGCTGCTCAAGGGCCCTGGGCTGGGGCATAGTGGAGTGGGCAGGCCAGCGCCTTTCCCCATCTCCCGCGCCACCCACAGCTCGGGTGGCAGTCTCCTCCTCTCTGCCACTGCAGGAGAGCTACCTGCACCCCTCCTGAGCAAGGACACCTCAATTGTGGAATTGTTATAAACTGTTTTCCTACTGCCCCACCTTGACCAAGGGCTGGGCTTATAAACTGTTGGCCTGCCGCCCCACCCTGAACTAAGGTGGGGTTTACAGACTGAATGCTTGCTGGCCTGCTCTGAACTAGGGCTGGGACTTTCTAGACTTTGGGCTTCCAAACTGTCGCTTACTGCCCTGCCCTGAACCAGGGCTGAGGCCTTCCAAGACTGCCTTGAGCCCAGGCAGGAGCTTTTTCAACTGTGGACTTGGCTGCTCTCCCTGAACTGAGGTTGGGCCCCTGAATGCCCTTTGCTGGCTGTCCTCTAACCCAGGCCGCCTTTATTGTTGTTTACTTTTGTTGCCCCTCCCTGAGGTAAGGGCGTGGGGCTCCAAACTAGTAGTTTGGACACTACTCATTCCCCCTCAGAGACTTATCCAGGTGTAGTGGGTTGGAGTGGCCACCCCTCTGACCCCTAGAGGCTATTTCCTAGAGCTCACGAGGGGTACATCTAC